CTTTGCCGACCGCAGTGACTTACTCTCATTGGTTCCATATTTCTTTATTTCCATACGCATGCCTTTACCAGTTTTTTGGCTCTTCAGTGTTCTTCATTGATTCTTGGACACTATCAAAGAAGTACATAATACTTCTCGATGAGTTAGTTATACTCTGATTAGTAATAAAATTTAATAATGACATTCAAATATTAACAAATTTTGTATGATTAAAAAATAAATTTTATTGCATAACGTTCTTTTTCTCTCAACTTTTCCTACTACGTTTTGCAAAAGTAAACAATTCATATCGAGTAATAACCTACAAGTTCTTTAAATTTACTTAATTTTTCCGAAATGGGTTTTTATTCACGTTAAGAATTTCTTGCATATCATAAAAAAGCAAAATATTCTCAATATTGTTCGTAATCACTTAACAAGTCATCTATACTATTAATTATTTTTATGTAAAAAAACAAGAATAAAAAACATTTTCAAAAATTCAGCAAATTAAAGAGTAAATTTAATTGGCAAAGACAACATTTTAAATTCAAATTACAAATGAAGAAATTTTCATTATAAAAACACTTAATTGAACTTAATAACAAAGCATTCAAGCAAATTAAAAGGTATTTTAAGAATCAGTTACAGTGAGGCTCCCTGTTTTTGAATACAACAAATTAAAATTAACGAATTTATTTTCAAGGAAGTAATTACGAAAACATTTTGAGCATTCAGCAAAAAAAAATGCATTATGATAAACTGTTGGATATGAAAAATATACTAATTAAACTAAATGAAACTCATTTAACAATTACATTAATTACAATATATTTAATAAGCATTTACATTTAAGACAAACTCAGGAAATAAAATAATTGCTTTTCATACTCTAAAGGTAATACTAAATTAAAGTTTCACATCAATGCAACAAAATTGTTAATAATTTGCATCATAAAATGTGACGCATTTCCCAAGAAGAGAATAATTTTTTTCATTTTTTCATTTATTATGTGTTTCACTTTTCATACGCCTTCTGCGCGCAAAGTACCTTTAGACGTTCGAAAAATCAAGTTTTCAGAAACATTTTTCAAAATTAATAAAATTAATGTACAATAGTAGGAACGTTTTAAAGCTAATCGCATCAAAATCCGACGATAATTACTCTCTGTGCAATAAAAATGTGAATATGAACAAAGACTTGTCCTTTAAAGATACAAGTAAACACATTTTTTGTTGATTTCTGTTTGAATTTCGTTGATTGGTTACTTATTTTATTAACATCACATTTCCAAACAACATGAGGGCTATTGGCGAAGATCCCGTAATTTTAAATCACGGGCAAGTAATGAGGACGACGCCTGATTTGACACTTTATTCTCCAGATTCTGCTCAGATTTAGAAAATAAAGGGTGTTTTTTTAGAGGTATAGAGCTTTAAATTGCAATAAAACAATGATGTACTATTCGATTGACATGAATTTTTTTTATTCGAAAGATAATCTTGTGGCATTACATTTTAAATATGATTTATGGCATATGACTGCCACGGCTGGATCGGATGCAGTCCAATCTGGACGTCCAATTTTCGATGACTTTTTCCAACATTTGTGGCCGTATATCGGCAATAACACGGCGAATGTTGTCTTCCAAATGGTCAAGCGTTTGTGGCTTATCCGCATACACCAATGACTTTACATAGCCCCACAGAAAATAGTCTAGCGGTGTTAAATCACAAGATCTTGGAGACCAATTCACAGGTCCAAAACGTGAAATTAGGCGGTCACCAAATGTGTCTTTCAATAAATCGATTGTGACACGAGCTGTGTGACATGTTGCGCCGTCTTGTTGGAACCACAGCTCCTAGACATCATGATTGTTCAATTCAGGAATGAAAAAGTTAGTAATCATGGCTCTATACCGATCACCATTGACTGTAACGTTGTGGCCTTCATCGTTTTTGAAGAAGTATGGACCAATGATTCCACCAGCTCATAAAGCGCATCAAACAGTCAGTTTTTCTGGATGTAACGGTGTTTCGACATACACTTGTGGATTAGCTTCTCTCCAAATGCGGCAGTTTTGTTTGCTGACGTAGCCATTCAACCAGAAGTGCGATTCATCGCTAAACAAAATTCGCTTAAGAAAATCGGGAACAACGGAAATCTCGTTTTGGGCCCATTCGACGAATCTACGCCTTGCTTGATGATCGTTTGGCTTCAATTCTTGCATGAGTTGGATTTTGTAAGCACGCAAACCAAGATCCTTCCGCAAAATCTTCCATAAAGTGGATGGACACAGGTCCAATTCCTGTGCTCGATGGCGGATGGACTCATTCGGGTCTTCCTCAATGATACGCTCTACAGTAGCAATAGCTTCTTCTGTACGCACCGTACGGCGTATCTGGGGATGCGAGTTATCAATTAGAGTAAACGTGGGGCGAAAACGTTCCATGGTTAATAGAATTAACTGCTCTGATGGACGATTTTGTCGACGATAAAATGGACGTAGTGCGCGATACGTATTCCGAACAGAACCATTATTTTCGAAATAAAATTGCACAATTTGAAAGCGTTGTTCAGGCATGAGTCTAATCATGATGAATTGCCAAACCAAACTGAGAATAAATCACTTGACAGCTGTTAAATCGGTCGCCATCTTGGAAAGTAATGCTAACTTAAACTGCTATACCTGGAAAAAAACACTCTTTACAATTCATTTTTTATCTGATGTAGGAAAATGAGTTTTTATCATTCAATAAATTATGAAGCAAAAAAGCTACACAATTGCCTTCACCCAAATTATTAAAAAAGATCTTCGATTGAAAATGAAAAGCTAAAAAGAATCTTTCAATTTTATCATTGAAAAGTATACTGATCAAAAACACATACATTAGAATCGTCCAAACTAACAATTGATAGTAGTGTAAAAAGAAACAACAATGAAGATGGCGGATGAGATAGTCAATACCCTAGATATTATGAAACACTTCTAATAAGAAAGAAAATTTATAGAATATATATATATATATATATATATATATATATATATATATATATATATATAATAAGAAAAATAATTATCTACTAAACTTTTATGGGAAAAGAAGGTCCAATTTATGCAAGTGGTATATTTTAAGTGTAACAAAAATTATTTTAATTCAAAAAATTAAAATTTAATCTTTAAACTTGATTTTCTCAGTTTCTAACAGTGACCACGGTACCCTAGTGGACAGGGAAAGGGACTGGTGGCCAGCGTGACATGAGTTCGAGCCTAGCGCCGCTGAAGACAAACCGTATAGGGCAGAGACGCACGTTTAATCTGTCAAGAGCCCAGATATTCTTCCGTTGGTGTGGAGTGGTAGCCAGGAGGCGGGGTTGCCAGGTCTAGTGTCGTCTTCATCACTTGAACATGGCACAAAATTAGGCAGTCCGGCGCGAAAGACCTCGTGAAGCTGAACTGCGTGGCGATAATATTCACTAAGTTTCAAATTTTCACACTTGCCGCAAACTAAAAGAGAAAATTTATGTTGCAGAGCTATGATATATATACCGATATAGGACTTGTAAATCTGTCATTTTAAAACTAAATTTTGTGAATGGTATCAATAGATTTTTAATTACACCATAAAAAATGTAAGGAAATAATTTTTTATTTTAAAAATACATAAATGTAAAATTTGATATAAAAAGACATTCTCTTTAGCTTATTCGGTTTAATCAGATTTTTTCCTACTCTTTAAAAATTATTCAGTTGCAATAAGGAAAATTACATATTTTCTGAGAATGTGACATATTTTGCAACGCAAACGTTTTATATTATCGCCTTTGACTCTAAATCGGCAAATGGTCTGATTCCACCACGTCCGAATGTGAAGTGGTTCGCTTTGTTATACTCTTAAGTCTTGCACAGGACTGTTGTAGAAAATATAAAGAATTAAATAATGTGCTTTTCGTATATTCCTGAAGATGACAATATCCATGCAAGAATGTAACAAGTATTACGCGACAAAATTCAGACAGCAGTGTAATGCGCATTTCTAAAAATTTTTTTAAGAATTCCCCCTTCGACCTACGTTTCCTGAGTCCGTCACTGTGTAAGAGCATAAGAAAACTTTTCTGCATGTGGCTTTCAACGTGTGGGCTGAGCATTAATAGAAACAATCTTTTGAGGGAGGGAGGATAAGACGAGACATGTTTAGACTTGCGAAATTAGACAGTTTACAACAAACCAGTTTTGTCTGGTTCTTTTTTCCTCCAGCAATTCTTTCATTGCGTAAATTAAGATAATGTCTTTATGGCTTCTACTTCTTACACCATGAGCAGACTATTCTCACAAAGTTTCGCAGTTTAAGATATTTTTTTCTTGTGTAAAAATTCCATTTTTACGATTACTTTGCATAACATACTGTTTTCTACAACTGGCCAGAACCTGTCACTCGGTGACGCAACGGAAGAGCGCTTGATTCCAGATCAGAAGGTTGCGTGTTCAAACCACGTCCGGGTCAAACAAATTTTTTGATTGGTTTCTTTTATTTTTTCCTTCCTTATAAAGAAACAGTATGAATTAACACTATTTCTGAAACAATAATCTTCTAAAATTGCGATTTTTTTTGTTTTTCTAAAGTAGAGCGCGTATCATTAGGGTTCGAATAAGAAATTTGCATCCGTTGTATTGAAATCCGTTCAATTTGTTTAAGCTCAAAATTCACAATTGACAATAATGGTTATGATTAAAAATTACGGCTAGGTTCCGTCCTCGGCATTTGTCAGAAATTCAAATTCATGAGTTTGATCTCCAATAACGATGTTTTTCCTGAGTGCTTCTAAAACAATCAATCCTTACATTCCAGAACAGGAAGTGTGTGAAAAACAGGTAAGATTCATTTACTAATTTTCTACTTGGCCTGCACTTTTAAAAGGTATAATGAAAGTAAAAAGAACTGGTAATTGTTTAATTACCTTACATTTTTATGTCTCTTAAAATTATCGCAGTCAATCGCAGAATGTCTGAAGCAGACAAGACTAGGTGGCGCAATGGTAGCGCGACTATTCCACATCAGAAGGTTGCGTGTTCGGATCACGTCCCGGTCAATGTGTGCACATTACTTTTGCTCTGCTTTAGAAAAGGAATTTGTGCAAAACATTACTTAAGAAAATAACTTGGCAATTTCGTAGATTCAGGGACTCGAATTCCATGTAAAAATGGAAATCAAAAAAGGATAAAAATGGCTTTGTACTACTAGTGCCACCAACGTAAGGCGCCCTCATCCACATGTATATGACGCAGTTTTCAATACTGCTAGAAATCATTGCAACTATGCTTACTTTGCTCTCTACGTATGAAGTGCACGACGATGAATATACGTAAGTTTAAATTTTTTAAATTTTACGCAATGCCAAAGTGCTGTACATTTTTCAAATTTCATTCCTGATCATGTCAATTAAATATTTAGAAATTAACCCATTATCATGGCTCGGTGGCGCAATGGTAGCGCGTCTGACTCCAGATCAGAAAGTTGTGTGTACGAATCACGTCCGGGTCAGTGTAGTGATGATTGCTTTTTTAATCAGGTGTGAGTTAATGCGCGGTGAAACGGATTTTTTCCCTTTGCTTTAGTAATTATTTAGTTGCATTAACGTAACGAACGTATTTTCTGAGAATGTAACATATTTCGCATTGCCAAGGCTCTATATTACCGCCTTTGAATCTAAATGGGCAAATGGACTGATTCCACCACGTCCGAGTGTGAAGTGGTTTGCTTTGTTATATTCTTAAGTCTTGTACAGGACTGTTGTAGAAAATATCAAGAATTAAAATATGTGCTTTTTGTATGTCCCTGATGATGACAGTATGCATGCAAGAATGCAACAAGTATTACGCGACAAAAACCCAACAGCAGTGTAATGCATATTACTAATATTTTTTTTAAGAATTCCCCCTTCGACCTATGTTTGCTTAGTCCGTCACTGTGTAAGAGCATCAGAAAACTTTTCTACATGTGACTTTCAACGTGTGGGCAGAGCATCAATAGATACAATCTTTTTCGGGACGATGGATAAGACGAGACATGTTTAGACTTGAGAATTTAGACAGTTTACAACAAACCTTTTCCGAAAATATCCCTGAAAGCCACGTAAATAAATGGCTCCTTATTGACTTTTACAGATCGCTCCTTGAATTAGACAGTCCTGGAAATAAACTTAAAATTTAGATACTCATATTGGTAGAACTTGTTGGCATTCATGTGTATTTGTTTTTTATTCCATTGTAAGTATTATGGGAACGTTTTAATAAATTAGTCCAAATTTACACGACGAAGCAAGTTTTGTCTGGTTATTTCATCCTCCAACATTTCTTACATTTCGCGAATTAAGATAATATTTTTATGGCTTTTGCTTCTTATACCTTGAACAAACTATTCTCACAAAGTTTCACACTTTAGGATATTTTTTTCTTGCGTAAAATTTCCATTTTTAATACTACTTTGCATAGTGCACAATTTCTACAACGAACCAGGGTGTGTGACTCAGTGGCGCAACGGTAGCCCGTCTGACTCCAGATCAGAATGTTGCGTGTTGAAATCACGCCCGGGTCACACAAATTTTTTGAATGTTTTTTTTTTCTTCCGTCTTAAGAAAGAGAGTATGGATTTACACTATTAATCAAACAATAATCTTCTAAAATTCCGATTTTTTTTGTTTATCTAATATAGAGTGCGTATCATTAGGGTTCCAATAAGAAATTTGCATCCGGTGTATTGAAACCCTTTCAATTTGTTTAAGCTCAAAATTCTAAAATGAGAATAATGGTAATGATTGAGAAGTTAAGGCTAGGTTCCGTTCTTGTCATTTGTCACAGAAAACCAAATTCAAGAGTTTCATCTCCAGCAACAATGTGTTGATTGAGTGCTTCTAAAAATATCAATTCTTATGTTTAGTTTGCACCTATTCATTTACACACATTAATTAAAAATCTCTAAAAGATTAATTACACCACACACAAAATGGCGAGACTAAGATAAAAGGAATTTTATTAGAGCGTTCTCCATACGCTCTCTTCTTACTCTGTTTCACATACACTGTTTTTTTCACACACTAGCGCCCTCTCGCGACAAACATGCACCTGTTGTTGTGGACGTCACAAGAACCATTTGTTCAACACTGAACATCCACCCCTGGGTTGAATGACACATTCAACAACTTTCACATAACACAATAATGCACAAAACCAATGATACACATAATACAAAGACAATAATACTCAATACAGAAAACACTAATACTCAATAAGTAATCGTTCAATACACCAAAGATAAAGTACTCAAACACACAAATTGAATTGAAAAAATACACAAATTTGAAATTTTTTCACATACATTATTCACTTGAAAAATGTAAAAAACAAAGTTTAGTTATTGGACGTTTAAAAATTCCATTTTTAGTTTTCACTAACACTACTCGAATTTTATTATCTTTACCATGATACACTTCAAGAATTCTACCAAGAGGCCAATTACACACGGGTAAATTATCCTCTTTCAGAATTACCATATCATGTATTTTTACATTATTCTTTTCAAAATACCATTTATTTCAATTCTGAAGTGTACTCAAATAATTATTTGACCAACGTTTCGAAATATGTTGCACAATTTTTGTTTGTTTTTGCCACACTTTTAACCTATTATCAGACACTTCAGTTAAACTTGGCTCCACAATGGCTGTGACGGGACGACCAACTAGGAAATGACCAGGAGTCAAAGCGTCAAAATCGCCAGGGTCACACGACAAGGGGTAGAGGGGACGTGAATTGAGAACTCCCTCAATTTGGTTAAGAATGGTTAGAAATTCTTCGTATGTAAATCTTAAATTACCCATTACACGCCTGAGGTGATATTTGACGGCTTTCACTCCAGCCTCTCACAGGCCTCCGTGATTTGGAGCTCTTGGGGGAATAAAGCTCCACTCAACACGTTCTTCACACAAAAATTTACTCAAATTACTAACACAATTACTCGTAATTTCTCTAAGTCTTTTTAACTCTAACTGTGTGCCAACAAAATTGGTAGCGTTGTCTGAAAATATACGCTCCGATTTTCCTCGTCTGCTAAAAAATCGCTTTAACGCTGAAATAAAAGCCTCACTAGATAAATCAGTATCTATTTCGAGGTGACACGCCTTTGTCACCATACACACAAAAATGCACACATAGACTTTATTTAAAACTCCCTTTCTTTGATTAGGATATTTAATCCAGAAATGTCCACAAAAATCTATTCCCACCTTGTTAAAGGGAAAACTCTGAGAAATTTTCTCGGCTGGTAATTGACCCATAATTTGTGAACAAGTAACGGGTTTTGCCTTAAAACAAATTATACAGTTATTTACAAGTTTTCTACACATATTACGACCATTTAATGGCCAGAACCTTTGTCTAACAATAGACAGTAAGGTTTGTGGACCAACATGCAAATGTCTCTTGTGAGTCATTTCAAGAATTAAATTTGTTAATCTGGGATTATTAAGAAGAATTATCTGGTGTTTTTTTTATCAAAACACAATTTACTGTGGGCCAGTCTACCTCCTACTCGGAGCACATTTTCGGAATCTAAGAATGGTGAGAGATTTCTAATCTTACTTTGAGGGTTAACCATACCCTTACAGGACAAATCTTTTATTTCCGAGTTGAATTCCATTTGCTGGACCAGCTTCACAAGGGTAATTTCAGCTCGTTGAATTTCACACATCCTTAGTGGCCCAATTTGTTTGTTGGAGGGCCTTTTGCAATTATTGATGAACCTGTAAATATAACTGAAAATACACAAATTTTTCTGAAAATTATTAGATACAGAGAGGATATGGTTCAAAAGGTTGTTGTCTAAAATCACAGTCAAAGTTTTTCTCTCAGTAGGTTTTAATTCCTCCAAATAGGCACTTTCATCACTAAGTAGCACATTGTTGCTCACAGGAACAGTATTTCCTTCTTGTAGGAAACTCGGTCCTTTCCACCACTTTTCACAGTTTATCAGTGAATCAGCACTGATGCCTCTCGTTAGAAGATCTGATGGATTGTCCTTTCCAGGACAATGACGCCATGAATCTTTGTATGTTAAAGATCGTATCTCTTTCACTCGGTTGGCGACGAAAACCTTCCATCTGTTGCTGGGACCTTGAATCCAACTCAAGGCTATAGTCGAATCTGTCCAAAAGTAGTTGTTTGTAGATATTTTCTCATTGAGAACACGTGAGACTTCTTTCGCCAACCTCGCAGCAAGCAACGCTCCCATTAGCTCCAAACGTGGAAGGGTTAATACCTTTAGAGGAGCCACACGGCTTATGGAAGCTAAAAGATGTACCGAGATTTTGTCAAAGGTTCTCAATCTAACATAAGAAACAGCTCCATATGCCTTAATACTAGCATCTGAGAACGTATGTATTTCACACTCCGGACAGTTCACACTATCACATTGCAGGGCATATCGAGGAATCTGAAGTTCACATAAGAAAGACGCTTCCGAACACCATTGTTCGAACTTCTCTCTAATATCAGGCAGCAACTCTTAGTCCCAGTCCGTTTTTCTCTGCCATATTTCTTGGAACAAAATTTTAAATCTTATGGTGAAGGGGGACGCAAATCCCAAGGGATCAAATATCCTGCCTGCAGCCATCAACAAAAATCTCGTTTAGTGTTCTTTCTTTTTTGAAGGAAGTCTAAGAGACTGGTCAGACGAAGACTGAGATAGTCTTTTTGAGGATGCCATAAAAGCCCCAAAACACGATGTGGATGGTTCACGAAATCGTTCATATTTAAATGATCAAAATGTTCCAACTGCTATTGCTTCATTAACTCACAGTCATTTGAAATCCACTTCCGCAGGTTCATTCCTGCTTCACTCATGATTTTTGCCGCCTTGCTCGACAAATCGAATGCTGATTTTGCATCATCTTCACCAGTGACGAGATCATCCACATAAAAGCAATGATCAAGTGTCCGCACAGTATCAGGATACTTTTCCATGTACTTCCCTATATGCGTCTTAATCGTTGCAGCCAAAAGAAACGGAGACGCGTTCACGCCAAAAAGAACTCGATTAAATCTGTACACCTGCACACCATTTTCGCCGTCATCTATAAGAAACCGTACTACATCTCTATCCTTTGGAGCCAAAGAAATTTGAAGAAACGCTTTTTCCACATCAGCTAAAACAGCTATTTTGTTCGAACGGAAGGAGATCAATAGGTCTAAAATATTAGGGTTCAAATTGATTCCATGGAAAAGGCAGTCATTTAATGAAAGTTGTTTTTCTTCATGAGCACTAGCGTCAAACACTAGTCGCAGTTTCGTTGTGAGAGATTCGTTTTTAATTATCACTTGGTGAGGAAGATAAAACACAGGGTTAAGCGTTGGAATAAAGGGATTTGTTACCTTCTCAATTATTCCCACATCCAAATAATTCTTCAAGACCTTACAATACTCAGAATACAACACCTTATCCCTTTGCATTTTCTCATAAGACTTCCAAGTCGTCTTTTTTCGCTAAACTAAAATTATCACTTAACTCATTACTATCTCTTTTCCACGGGAGTTCTACCTCATATCTACCATTTTTAAAATGTACTCTCTGCTTAAACATTTCAAAGCTAACGTCCTCCTCACTACTACAATTCTCGTTTTTGACACCAATCGATTCTAACTCCTAAAAAGACCTTAATGTTGTATTTAAATCACTATCTCTGATTAATCCACAATGAATATTGTTATCCCTCACCTCATCTCCTACACTTCCGCTAACTACATATCCAAAAACAGTATTTTGTAAAAGTAGTCTTGAATCTCCACAATAAATTTGGCCTGGTCTCAGTAATTCGTAAAATATTTCCGCGCCTAACAACACATCAATTTTACCAGGAATATTAAATTTATAATCGGCTAGTTTAATTTCGTTTGGCATATCTAGCGAAACATTTATTATTTGTGACGGAGTCAAATCGGTTATCCTTCTTACAACTAATAAATTTAGCTCCTTTTTGAAATTTAAATCACCGTTAAATATAGAGGTCGTAACTCCTCCATTTTCTGTAATTGTTGACTCATTTAAACAAGATACTAGCAAATTAATTTTCTCATTTTTTAATTGTAATCTATCTGCAAAGTCTTTCGTAATGAAATTTGACTGACTCCCTACGTCCAAAAGCGCTCTTACCTCATGTAAAAGGCCATATTTGTCCCTTAAGAAGCACTGGACGCTACTCAGTAAAACAGTTCGCGTTTTATTCTTTAAAAAGCTGGTTGCTACGAACGACTTTTCTTCATTTCCACCTTGGGGTGGAACGACGCAATTCGATCCTCCCGGTCCCCCGAACACATCTGCGAGCGGGTTGAGAACTGACCTTTGAACTGTTTGGTTGAGGGAGACAGACTCCTTGTCCGGCTTCGGAAAGTGAATCAAGCGATTGTGCGGTTTCCCACAAAAACAATTTTTCGCACAGCAGGTTTTCACACTACAGTTAGGGGAAAAGCACTTGAAACACAAATGATTAGCCTTTACGAAATCCACTCTTTCACTGACGCTGAGAGATTTAAATTTTGAGCATGAATACAGTGGGTGGAATTCTCGTGATTTGCAACAAAAACATTTCACATTTTTAACAGAAGACAGATTTACGCTTGAAATATTTTTTGCTCCACGATGATTATAGGTCTCATTACGTTTAAACTTAGGAAATAAATTCTGTTCTCTAATTTTTCCCTTGGATGATATAAAAATATCACACTCGCGAGCTAGATCTTGTGGCTTAAACCACATTTCGCCCTGCTTAATGCCAATATGCGTATTTAATTCTCGGTCTAATGTCTCTATTATCTTATCTGAGATTACTAACTCACAAACTGACTTGAAATCATTGACCTCCCGTAATTGGCAATAGTAATTAAAATTCGCACTTAATCTAGACGCGAATTGAACATAACTCTCGCTAGGTATTTTTTGGGCCTTTTTAAATTGATTTAAACATTCATAGGGGGTCGGTTGAAATTCTTTAACACAATTGCCTTCAACTTATTATAGTCACTTAAATCTCCATCTCGAAGATAAATCATAAACCAATTTGCCTTTTCTCCTAAAATATTTAAAAGAATTTCGGGTTTTTATTTTTCAGGAACATTTTTAGTTTTAAATGCCTTTTCTATAGATTGAAAAAATAAATTAAATGACTCTGCTCTTAGGGGTACCGGGATTGTTAAGGTTTTGATACTTTTAATCAAACTTTCAATATTACACTCGGTTGTAATTAATTGATTTTCATTTTGTAAAGGTAAACTTTTGCCCGATTGATTATGTAATTTCGCTATTTCTAACTCCTTCTCTAACTGTGACAGTTTATTTTTTTCAATTTCTAGTCTATTTTCGGTTTCATTTCTTCTATTTTCGTCTTCACTTCTCCCATCATTTATCTCCTCCAACACACAATCAACAATAGCCTGATACGTTTCCTTATCATTTTTATAAATCTCACTCTCCTGTATTAATTCTCTTAAATCTAGAACTTTAGCATTGTCTGGAACAACTAATTTTAATTCATCCGCAATAATCCTAAGTTCATCCTTTTTAAATTTACCTATACTCATTTTCACAAAGTAAAGTTATCTCAATCACCAATGAAAACAAATAAACCACAATTTAATTATCTAAGCCACAAATCAAAGTTAACTCAACCTCAAATTAAAGTTATCTTAACCACACATGAGACACATATAATCACAATAATTATCTCAAAACACAATTAAAGTTAACTCAACCTCAATTTAACACATATAAATCACAAAAACTATCTCAAACACAAATTAGACACCTATAAATCACAAAATAACTATCTCAATCACAAATTAGACACCTATAAATCACAAAATAACTATCTCAATCACAAATTAATGTTATTTTAACCACTTATGAAACACATATAATTTTTCACAAAACACAAAATATAGGAAAATTGAAGACTGACCTCTCACCAAGTGACAACTTTCTCTCCACACTAAAAGGACGCTTCCTTTCTTTCATTCGTGATCGTTGAGTATACTACAATTCCTTATTTTCAGTCCCGGCCATTTCGGGCTCTGACGGACCATTGTTTAGTTTGCACCGATTCATTTACACACACTAATTAAAAATCTCTAAAAGATTAATTACACCACACACAAAATGGCGAGACTAAGATAAAATGAATTTTATTAGAGCGTTCTCCATACGCTCTCTTCTTACTCTGTGTTTCACACACACTGTTTTTTTTCACACACTAGCGCCCTCTCGTGACAAATATGCACCTGTTGTTATGGGCGTCACAAGAACCATTTGTTCAACACTGAACACCTTACATTTCAGAACAGTAAGTGTGTGAAAAACAGGTGCGATTCATTTACTAATTTTCTACTTGGCCTGCACTTTTAAAAGGTACAATGGCGGTAAAAAGAACTGGTAATTGTTTAAATACCTTTCAATTATGTCTCTTAAAAATATCACAGGGAATCGCAGAATGTCGGAAGCAGACATGACTCGGTGACGCAACGGTAGCGCGTCTGACTCCACATCAGAAGGTTGCGTGTTCGAATCACGTCCGGGTCAATGTGTGCACGTTACTTTTGCTCTGCTTTAGAAAAGGAATTTGTGCAAAACATTATTTAGGAAAATAACTTGTCAATCCACCCTTGGCAATTTCGTAGTTTCTGAGACTCGAATTCCATGTAAAAATTGAAATCAAAAAAGGAGAAGAAAGGCTTTGTACTAGTGACACCAATGTAGGGCGCCCTCATCCAGATGCATGTGACTCAGTTTTCAATACTGTTAGAAACCTTTGCAAGTATACTTACTTTGCTCTCTACGTATGAAGTGCACGACGATAAATATACGTAAGTTTTAATATTCGAATATTACTTAATGCAAAAGTACTGTACATATTTTAAATGTCATTCCTGATCATGTCAAATAAATATTCAGAAATTAACCCGTTATTGTGACTCGGTGTCGCAACGGTAGCGCGTCTGACTCCAGATCAGAAGGTTGCGTGTTCGAATCACGTCCGGATCAGTGTAGTGGTGATTGCTTTTTTAATCAGGTGTGAGTTGATGCACGGTGAACCGGATTTTTTCCCTTTGCTTTAGTAATTATTCAGTTGCCTTAAAGTAACGAACGTATTTTCTCAGAATGTGACATATTTCGCATCGCCAAGGCTCTATATTACCGCCTTTGAATCTAAATGGGCAAATGGTCTGATTCCACCACGTCCAAATGTGAAGTGGTTTGCTTTGTTATATTCTTAAATCTTGTACTGGACTTGTAGAAAATATCAAGAATTAAATGATGTGCTTTTCGTATGTCCCTGAAAATGACAGTTACCATGCAAGAATGCAAAAAGTATTACGCGACAAAAATCCAACAGCAGTGTAATGCATATTTCTAATATTTTTTTTAAGAATTCCCCCTTCGACCTACGTTTGCTTAGTCCGTCACTGTGTAAGAGCATAAGAAAACTTTTCTGCATGTGGCTTTCAACGTGTGGGCAGAGCATCAATAGAAACATTCTTTTGTGGGACGATGGATAAGACGAGACATTTAACGTGTGGCGCAGTATAGCCAAATTTGGCTCTTGCGCCATAGAAGAAAACATTCACTCACTCACTCAAGACGAGACAAGTTTAGACTTGAGAAATTAGGCAGTTTACAACAAACCTTTTCCGAAAATATCCCTGAAAGCCATGTAAATAAATGGCTCCATATTGGCTTTTGCAGTTCGCTCCTTGAATTAGACAGTCCGGGAAATAAATTTAAAATTTAGATACTCATATTGGTAGAACTTGTTGGCATTCATGTGTATTTGTTTTTTATTCCATTGTAAGTATTAAGGGAACGTTTTAATAAATTAGTCCACATTTACACGACGAAGCAAGTTTTGTCTGGTTATTTCATCCTCCAACATTTCTTACATTTCGCGAATTAAGATAATATTTTTATGGCTTTTACGTCTTACACCTTGAACAGACTATTCTCACAAAGTTTCACAATTTAAGATATTTTTTCTTGCGTAAAATTTCCATTTTTAATACTACTTTGCATAGTGTACAATTTCTACAACGAACCAGGCCGTGTGACTCGGTGGCGCAACGGTAGCGCGTCTGACTCCAGATCAGAAGGTTGCGTGTTCGAATCTCCTCCGGGTCAGTGTAGTGGTGATTGCTTTTTTAATCAGGTGTGAGTTGATGCGCGGTAAACCGGATTTTTTCCCTTTACTTTAGTAATTATTCAGTTGCCTTAACGTAATGAACGAATTTTCTCAGAATGTGACATATTTCGCATCGCCAAGGCTCTATATTACCGCCTTTGAATCTAAATGGGCAAATGGTCTGATTCCACCACGTCCAAATGTGAAGTGGTTTGCTTTGTTATATTCTTAAATCTTGTACTGGACTTGTAGAAAATATCAAGAATTAAATGATGTGCTTTTCGTATGTCCCTGAAAATGACAGTTACCATGCAAGAATGCAAAAAGTATTACGCGACAAAAATCCAACAGCAGTGTAATGCATATTTCTAATATTTTTTTTAAGAATTCCCTCTTCGACCTACGTTTGCTTAGTCCGTCACTGTGTAAGAGCATAAGAAAACTTTTCTGCTTTTGCTTTCAACGTGTGGGCAGAGCATCAATAGAAACAATCATTTGTGGGACGATGGATAAGACGAGACATGTAACGTGTGGCGCAGTATAGCCAAATTTGGCTCTTGCGCCATAGAACCAAAAATTCACTCACTCACTCAAGACGAGACAAGTTTAGACTTGAGAAATTAGGCAGTTTACAACAAACCTTTTCCGAATATATCCCTGAAAGCCATGTAAATAAATGGCTCCATATTGACTTTAACAGTTCGCTCCTTGAATTAGACAGTCCGGGAAATAAATTTAAAATTTAGATACTCATATTGGTAGAACTTGTTGGCGTTCATGTGTATTTGTTTTTTATTCCACTGTAAGTATTAAGGGACAGTTTTAAAAAATTAGTCCACATTTACGCGACGAAGCAAGTTTTGTCTGGTTATTTCATCCTCCAACATTTCTTACATTTCGCGAATTAAGATAATATTTTTATGGCTTTTACGTCTTACACCTTGAACAGACTATTCTCATAAAGTTTCACACTTTAAGATATTTTTTATTGCGTAAAATTTCCATTTTTAATACTACTTTGCATACTATACTATTTCTACAATGAACCAGGCCGTGTGACTCGGTGGCGGATCGGTAGCGCGTCTGACTCCAGATCAGAAGGTTGCGTGTTCAAATCACGTCCGGGTCAAACATTTTTTTGATTGTTTTTTTCCGTCTTAAGAAAGAGTATGGATTTACTCTATTAATCAAACAATAATCTTCTAAAATTCCGATTTTTTTGTTTATCTAATATAGAGTGCGTATCATTAGGGTTCCAATAAGAAATTTGCATCCGGTGTATATTAAAACCCATTCAATTTGTTTAAGGACAGTCGGTATGGTAAACATGTTCCAGAAATCGATTTTGAGATTTTGATATTTCTCAAATCTCCAAATTAAGCCCTTTCCAATGATATAACATACTAGTCAATTTTTGAATTAGAAGTATTTTAAAATGTTTTTTTTAAAAACAGTAGCAGTCGTGGGACTGCCGATAGAAGTGAAAACGGAACTATTAAGTTGAGAGTAATTAAAACTATATGCAAAAATTATATGAAATTTTTTATGTTTTATTTATTAGTTACATATGATGGGTTAAACAAATCATGAACAAAATATAAATACAAAGTGGTTGAAAAAATAATTAATATACAATTATCTTAATTATACATAGTATTTATATTTACACGAATTTCAATGAATTCAAGTTTGAACATTATTTTCATTATTTACATCATTGTCATCATTAATTTCGACAATACTTAGATTATCTGTTCGTTCAATCATTTCATTGTATTCTAAAAAAGATACAATATGTTTATGGTAACTGAAATAAGAAATAAAAATGTTTGATTGAAATTTATCTAAATATCGTATAAAAACAGCATCGATAGTCGTTTTATACTTTGTTGTACTGACTTTTCGATCATTAGACATAGTCAAACCTAATGTTTCATTCAAAAATTCAATTAATGATAAATTTTTGTCATCTGCGAAGTTAATATTAAAGTCTCCGCTTAATATCATAGGTATGTCGTCAAATTTTTCGCCAAATCTTTTTTCGAGTAATTCAGAACCTTCTTTTGTGTAAATCATTAAATTTTCGAATAAAAATTATTCTATCTGTTGCATAGATTTTTCAGGAGATATATAAACAGCAACCATTAAAATGTATTGTCCATTTTCAGAATTGCAACGAGCAACGCATATTTCGCCTATGTCTGAAACATTAACACCAATCCCTCTAGTGAATTTAGTGTGGATGTCCATGTATGAAGTGACAATGTGTGATGTATCTTGTGTATGTTGATAAATAGCTACTCCTGCTGCTGGAACTTCAGGCCTTTTATAACTTGCAACAAAATTGAAATCTGGAATATGAATTGGTTCTTCATTTTTCATACGAGTTTCTGACAAAAGTAAAACATTTGATTTTTTTACAATAGCATCGTTTTTTAGATCAGTTACATGTGCATGTAAACTTTGGCAATTGAATGAAAATATAGATAATCCTTTCTTGTTAGAAATGAATTCAAGAAAAGTTTGGGTGACTGTTTGTAGTGTATTGTTTTTCAATCTTTTTAATTCTAATGTTAGATCTTCTCGATGACTTGTTGATCTCTTAAGATGTTTATCTGATTATGAAGCATTTAAAGGTATTCCTGATCTACCAATCCAAAATTTCCAGCTGTCTTCAGTATTTTCTTTAGTAACCATAAATAAACCTTCAATCTTCGTCACTCTGGATAAAGCTACGTATACCAATTCTCTAGGATGTTTGCGATCATATTCGTAAACAATAGCATCATAAGTACCTCCCTGTGATTTGTGAATCGTCATTGCCAAAGCAGAAACAAGTGGAAAATGTTTTCGTTTCGCTATTATGGTTTTATTATTATTGAGAGCTACTGATGATGTTTGAGAAGTGATGGGCACAGCATCATCATCAAGATTGAGGCGTGCACTGAGATTTCTTAATTTTGTAGCTTGTTTTCGTCCACATGATTTTGGAAATTTTAACCAAATTCTTATAATATCACCATTCTCATCTCTCTCTACATGATACAATTTTCCTACAGTGCCATTTGATAATCCGTCTGCAACGTCTATGTTATTAGTTATCATATATGGTCTATTGAGAACTAAAATTAATTCGTAGGGTAATCCACCAGTTTCATCAGTTTTCATTTTATGCAACTTCTGCCTAACGAAATTTTCTTGCTCAGGATTATGACAACCAGTAATAACATCCGATGCCACATATATTATTTTATCATCTACAGAGTTTAAAACCGAATAGTTGTACGTGTTAACCGCAGCGTTTGTAAATAAAAGTCGTATTCCTTCAGGGCATACTGATTGAGCTTCTTCTTTGGTGATAAATCTTGATTCCATGACTTTCAGTTCTTCTTCCGTTAGAATATTTCCATCTCCAATTTTTGTTAAAATTTCAGAAAACTGACGATTTTCTTGTCTCATTACTTGTTTTAATTCAAATTGTTTAAATTTTCGCCAAGGTGTTTCACCAGTTATTTTTCTTTTGATTTGCTTGAAGATTGGCGTGGCCTTTACTGGAGGTAATTGTCGCAAATCTCCAATAAGTATAACATCTAATCCTCCAAAATCTTTTGTAAACAAGCCAGTAATTTGTTTCAGACGAGCATTAATCTGTTCTAATAATTCAGCAGAAACCATGCTTATTTCATCAATAATGAGAACTTTAACAAATTTGAATAAAGTTCTATATTGATTAGCTTTTTCTATATTAAGTGGCATTAGCCTGGACAATGATATGCTCAATGCACTATGAACCGTTGAACCACCTATAGCTGTAGCAGCTTTTCCAGTTGAGGCACACGCTATATAGGCATTAAAATGCCATCAGTGT